ATTTGCAGGACGGAAAAACAGCTGCAAATGCACGCTCTGTGTGCCAATTTAACATGCATTAAACTAAAATTTAGTAATTCACGTGACAAGATCTTGCATGTATCAACCTAACTGCTCATCCAAAGGAGAAAGTGTGCTTTTTGTCCGTTTTTTAATGTCTTGAATTACTGAAAATAATAATTTTGACTGATTTTGTCAAGATATTTAAGTCATATTTTAATTGGCTCGCGGCATTGCTTTCTTTGAGTTGTGTTGTCAGACTTAAAAAAGAACACATTTTTCCTTTTATATTATCATCCTACCGTCTAACATCACATTACCGTCGTTTATTATTAAGGATCAAGTTATAATAATGTCGATTTCAAAAAGGAGGAGCAACCGTATATATGAGGAGGCAAATAAGAACATCTATCTGCCCCCTTGTGGTTTTGTTTCATGCTGTCTCAAGGAATTGACAAAATAAATGTAGTAGTGATAATAATGCTACAAGATTTAGTAATAATACTGATATTTTATTCTGATATTTAAAGGCTTCTTTTTTAAAATACAGTTTTGTTAATTTTATAATAACCTTTGGTAATTTCACCCTTAAACCAAATCTTGCTGCTCAAAGCATCACAAATCTCCATTCAAACTATACAGCACTATTTAACCCTTTCACACAGTCCTTTTTTCCAGGGTTTGTTAAATTTACGGTGTGTAACTCCATTCATCTCATAAGTGGCCCACATTCATGTATCGTCCCCTCTGTGGTTTCCTGTTATGTAATTTCATCCCCATCAGACTGCATCAGCCTCAGAATGTTTCCTGCTCGGCTTATATGAGCTCACATGGGATATATATAGAAGTAACCCAACACAAGTGTAAGACTAGGCAGAGTACAAAGGTAAAAGAGATAGGGGGTGATAAGTGTGGGCTTTATCTGTGTGTATGTATATGTGTGAGCGTGTCAGCACATGTGTGTATTTTGTATGTGTGTGTGTGGGTGTGAGGAGTGGATACTGATAAAGCATGTGATGAATTATGCAAACGTTTCTCATTGTTTCAGAAAAGCTCTGTTTTGACTAATTAGGGTAACAGAATTTCAATGTTATTTTCGCACTGAGAAACTATGACGCAATGATTTTTATTTAATTTTTCAGATTACCCCTTCTGACGTATAAAGAAACATGGATGTATCTTCATCCTCACTGCAGTACGGATCAAAAAAGCGGGTTAAGATTCACCCAGACACGGTTACAGTGAAATATGCCACTCACTTCCCCCAGCCTGGGGATGAAGGGTACGATGACGCACCCTCTTTTGAGGACTTTGGCGCCTTCGCGGAGGCTAATGTGGAAAAGAGACTGGTGTCAGACAGCAAAGGTGGCAGGACTTTCTTTGGAACCATGGAGACCCAGCCTAAGCCGCCAAGTGTGCAAAAAGACAAGGGGGTCGGGGGCCAGCTGGCCAGCTTCGGCGAGGCGAATGTGTTGGCCTCCAGGGTGACCTGGATGGCCTTGTTTGGAGCAGCGGTGGCTCATGGTTGCGTGGCACTGATAACTCGTCTAGCAGCCGACCGCTCTAAAGTGCCCTCCCTCGAGCTGCTCTTCATCCGCTCCGTGATCCAAGTGCTCTCCATCCTGGTGGTCTTCTACTACCACGAGGCCCCCTTTGGCCCTAAGGGCTACCGACTGCGTCTCTTCTTCTACGGCGTGTGCAACGTAATCTCAATCACCTGCGCCTACACCTCTTTTGCCATAGTACCTCCCAGTAATGGCACCATTATGTGGCGTGCCTCTACCACAGTCTTCAGTGCAGTACTGGCCTTCCTGTTGCTGGATGAGAGGCTGGGATACACAGACGTGGTCACAGTGGTGGGAAGCGTGTTCGGTCTGTGTCTGGTGATGGTACCAAACGTAGCAGATGAGGAGAAGTCCAGGCTGGGGTTTTGGAAGGAGGCTTTTGGCTACACAATGACAGTGATGGCCGGCTTGACTGCTGCCCTCTCCATGATCGTCTACAGAGCCATTAAGGAGCGCGTCAGCATGTGGACGGCACTCTTTACCTTCGGCTGGACGGGCACAGTGTGGGGAGCCTCCACCATGTTTATCATGCAGGAGCCCATCATTCCTCTGGATGGGGAGACCTGGGGCTATTTAATTGGGATCTGTATCTGCTCCACCGTGGCGTTCCTCGGAGTCTACTATGCTCTAAACAAGTTTCATCCAGCCTTAGTTAGCACCGTGCAGCACCTAGAGATCGTGGTTGCCATGTTCCTTCAACTCATTGTTCTGAGGATGATCCCATCTGTCTACGACGTCATAGGAGGCCTGGTCATCATGATCAGTGTGTTCACCCTGACAGGAGTCAAGCTGTACAGGGTGAGCAGGGCCATTCGGCAGGATTATCAAGAGATCCTAGACTCGCCCATCAAATGAGTTTTGATATGTCAGTCTATTTGTTTACAATGTTGCTTGGTTGTGCAATTTAAAGAATGTCTGGATCTTCATCTGATGATTTTGTATTGTTGTGTTGTTGAAAGGGTGCCAGTTGTGTAAGTAATGTCTTAATATTTGTGTGTGAAATAAAAGACAAATGTAATATGGTGACCATGTCCCCCTGATAGTACTGCTTTAATGTCAAATTGTGTCAAAGACCAAGATGTCAGCAAAAAAAAAACAAAAAACATGAATCAGTTTAATTTTTGTTATTTACTTTGCTCAAACATTTGAAACCATATTGAATCTGGTCTTGTGAGTGGCAGTGTAAGATGAACATTTCAATGAATCAACAAGGCGTGATGTATCCCTCTGTTGTCACACTGCCACACTTGTCACACTGTGTAAATGTCAGCCCAGAAATCATTCGTACTACATACAAGGAATGAAAGAATAAAAATAAATACCACCCACATTTCATAAAATAACTGGTATTGCTTTTCTTAGCCTTAATCGGTTGCTTGCCAAGACGGTGTAATTTCAAAATAAAACGTGAATATAGAGGAGGCGTCATATACAATATAACTATAACTGGAATTTTTCTTATTAAAAATTAGATTTACAAAGAGACAGATGGAAGATCAAACATTATCTTGCGCACAGGAAAACTGGCAATCTGTATTATTCTATATACAGTTTCCTCCCATATTATGTGTAAAAACTGCACTTTTCAGTGCTTTCTTACTGCCTCTCATATATGTTCTGGCCCCGGCAGCTGCTTGATATTTAAGGCTAGTGATTACATCCTTGGATGCTGCTTCTGTTTACTTTCAGACACATATCAGACTAATGCCCAGAGGCAGGTGCACTGTATTGAATTAAAGTCCCCCTTAACATGAGAACATCTGCTTTTTCTGTAGTGGACAATCGCACAGGGATGTGTCCTTTCTCTGTGTTGAAAACCAAGCCGAGGCAGTCGCTCTCTGATTCCCCCGAGGCAAAAGCAACAGTGATGGAATGAAATAAAGACATAATGACGATGCAGAGTGGATGAAAGACGACATGTTGCATGTTGCGGGTCAAAACTGACACAACATGGATGTTTCACTAACAGCCCAGCAGGTGGCATTAACTATCCACCTTATTACTCAGAGTTTATTGAAGTAATACTGTATTACAGTACATTATGAAGGTAATTAGTGGTATATCCAAACAATATTCAGCTACAGGCGGTTATTGCATCAAAACAATTTAAAATACTTAATCCAATCCCTTCTTATTTAGTGGCCAGGAGCAGAAGAAGAGTTATTGGACACGTTTATGGCTGATTGTATGCACAATATCACCTAATAAAGGTTTATAAATTTATGACACTGTTTAACATATTTTTATTGAAGCTGGAAATAATCAGTCGCGTGTTTATGACCACACTCATAGCAGAGATGTTGCTGAAATCAAATCATTCTGTGTGAGGACAATCTACTATCAGTGCTTTTTTATTTACTATCAGGAGATAAAATTGTGAGTAAACTACAGCTCAATTCATTTACAACCCAAAGTCAAACAACCGCCATCATAAACACATCACAATGTGAAATTGTCTTTTACTTTGAAAACACATTCTGTCTGTCATGTAAAGTTATCTTTTAAAACACCACGGCCGGTGGCTAAAGTTTATTTTCAAACGAAAAAAGGTGAATAAACTGAGATAAAGTGTGTTTAGTCTCCCTTTATATTTATATTATAGTCTTGTTTTGAGATGGGTTTTGGGTGCAGAAAGCAGAATACATGTAGAGGAGGCCCATCTGTTTGAGCAGGAAACAGATTGCATCCTGCAGCGAGCTGCAGAACCTTCCAAATTACTCTGCAACTCTCTTCACCACAGACATGTTTATTAGAAGTACCATCATTTCCCAGGAGGGGCCTGAATGGAATTTGATGATGAGTTATTGTATGTATGCTGCAAAGTACAGATGACTGAGCATTTTTATGAAAGGCTCAAAAACACCCTACTTTCCAGCTACTAAATATATCCTATTCATCATATAAGGCTGCATATTGCTATCTGCAGCCAACATTTAGACTAAATAAATTAGGAAAAGAAGGTGCAATTCCTTTTTTATGTGAGCTGATTGTCCACACCTTTATACTTTTCGTTTTTCTTTATCTAGTTATGGATTCAAAATGAAGTTGCAAAAAGTGCTAATTATAACTTTCACTAAATTATAGGCCTACAGGATGACATGCAATCCCCACTCAGTGCTTTAAACGCCTGGAGTGCAACTTTTCTTTTGCACAGCTGATTCTAAGCCACATAAATTAATAAGTAAAACATAAGTACACAAGAATATGATACGCCTGTCTATGACTCTGTCCATACACATGTTTCTTTTACAGCAATTAGGCAGAGTCGTTGCCCTCACAAAGCGAAAAAACATGATGGATGCTTATGGGAACGCAAAACATCAGCAGCTGCAGTGTGATTGACTGACAGCGGCGTCGTCCAATCAACAGAGAGTCGATTTCCTCCGCAGCCAATTGGACGCGAGTGGGCGGGGCCTGGCGTCCGAACAGCTTGTGAAGCTGCTGCTAGCTAGCCTAGCCGCGCTGCTGAGCAATGACATGCTTTGATATAGAAATGCTATTCCAACGGGGCACAGCGTCTCATCGGCTAGGCTAGCTCGCTGGAGGTGGAAAATTAACTGGCTGCTTGCTACGACTCTGGATATCATTTGCGTTACATCCACTTCCACTGTCTTGCCTGAGGTTTCTACACGTTTAATATCCCCCCCCCCCCCGAAGGAGAGAAGAAGAGGTGGCCATCGGCAATCGGGGTAAGACGTGATATGACTGAGGAGAGTATGAATCCGATCTGGCACTGGCGGTGTGAAAGCTATCTGAATCCGGGCTAGCTTCTGCTACCGTTGAATTCACCGAGTAACGTTACAACTCACCTACCTCGGCTAACGGCTAACCGTTAACCCAGACTAGAGAGAGAGGAGGAAAAAAAAAAAAAAAACCCAGTCAGTCGCCTTGCCAACATGGCCAACATACTGTTAACCCAGCTGGCTATCGGCTAGTTTGGCTGTAACCATTTACCTTTCCTCCCTCCGTGTTTTATTTTTTCTTCTTCTCTCTCAGCCGGGTTAACGTTAGCCAAGTTAAGGTAGCATGACACGCAAGTTATAAGATAAACCCCCTCCTCAAAAAAAAAAAAAAAAGCTCCGATAAAACTGCTGCACTTCAGTCCACCACGTTTAACGCTTTTATTTGTTGAGACTGAAAATGGAGAGGACGTGTTAACCGCAGCCGCTGTTGAACGCTTTACAGTGCCTATTGCATCCTCTCATTTACTGCGTTCACAATGTCTTCTTGTGTTCTCTTGTGCATTTATTTATTAGTTTTTAATATGTGACGTTAACTAATGCCCCTGTCTAAGTTGTTGGGTGCTGATTGGACCCATCTTGCTCAGGGTCGCGATGGATTCATTCCCTGACGTTAACTTATGATTCCCTTTAGTTGTGTTAAACAGCCAGTTAACTGTGATTGTACACACACACACACACACACACATACACACAAATAGGTTATTGTAGTCATTATGCCACCTCTTGTTTGCCTACTAGTTTTGTTAATGCATTGCAATTACAGTTTTCATTATTTACTTGTGTAAAAGGAGTCCAGGCTTTAGATATCTTGATCCAGATGTTACAGCCACACAAGGACAACAGCTGGCGACAGTGTTGTTACTTGATAAATGACTTAAATCAATTCTCAAAATTGTTGCAGAGTAATTTTCTGTCAATGGACTAATCATTTCCTCTCTGATCTGAAAGAGCGAAACTTAGCAATACTTTCATCTACCCAGGAAGACCGGTAATAGATAGGCAAATGTACTGTGTAAGTGAAGCCATTTTTTTTGTTTTGGTGTAAGATTTGAGATAATTGCTCCCTCTGTTTATCTCCTAACATTGTTTCTACCTTACACAACCAAAGCCAGACTAAATGTCATGCTTCGGTAGCACAATGGGCGATAAGGCTGTATAATTGTTGGCAAGCTCTCGTGGCTCGTGTTTGTGTGGCCTCTTACAAAACGTGTTCAACAATACTGTAAAAACAATCAGCGGATTAATATTGCTTGAGTATTTTATCTCACAGATATGTGGTTGGTTAGAGCTGAATGATCTAAGAGGGTAGCATGTGTGTGTCTTTCCAAACGCCAAAGGAGGAGGGTGGGGGTCTTTTTGCAGCTGCTGAATAGTATAGTTTCTGTAATTATTGTCACACTGACAGACCTCTTCACAGTCTCTCATTAAGGTTTCAGGGAGGTGAGAGGACGGGGGGGGGGGGGGAGACATTTGGTCTGCTGAAGCTCTGTTCTCAGTGGGAGTCTGAGGGAGGATCGCCACAGTTCGCAGGGAGAGAGATGGTGGAGACCTGCTTACCATCATGGTTTGCTTGAAGCCTGATATTATATTTCTCTTGGGCGTTGGGGGGCCAATTTGTAAGACATGTGAAAATGGCTATTAGGAGACCTATGGAGAACCTTTTGCACCTATCAGCTGCCAGGTCATGAGCTCATGGCCAAACCCCTGAACTAAAACTTTCACTATGCAGCTATGCATGTTGATATTGCAGTGATTTGGCTCTGTCTACTCCATCTGTGTCCTATTTATAGTTCTTGTTCACTCATTATACCCTCGTAACTGCACCATCATTCCAATGTTACGACGGTGTAAACTTATGGATATGCAGCGATGAGCTCTTCTTCGTATAAGATCCCTGCCCCTGTCTCCTTCTCAATGGCCCTCAAGCAGCCAAAATCTGTCTCCACAGCCTAGGGGAAAATACCAACTGTGCATTTTCACGATAGCCAACAAATTAATGTGGCTGAAAATTTCCCTGGTCAAATGACAAGCCCAGGAATCTAGTCTATTAAGTGCCTTCAGGGTTCTATTGAAACAGGGGATTTTTAGATTCTGCAATTGTCTCTTCTCTCTTGTTATCTCCCTTATTACATACAGTCTCTTCCAGTTCCTCATTTTCTTTTATGATTTTTGTCTCTTTCTGTCTGACATGTTTTCCTTTGACTGCCCATGCATGCTTGCAAAGGTACTTTCTATATGTTTACCACAGTCACCTGCTGAAAACGGGAGTTCATTCAGCCCTTTGTCATGACACAAACAGCAGGAGGAGAAGAATGACAAGTGCACTTTTTTTATTTATTTTTATTTTTTTACCATTATCAGAATTTGAAATCTCTGTTAAGCTGTTAGTGTGTGCAGAAGCAAAGTAATTAAACACAGTTGATGGTGTTTAAGTCTCCCCACTTCTGCAAATCCTACACTGTAGACTGTGTGTGGTCATATTTGCTATCTTTTCTCATTCGGAGTAAGTGATTTGACTTCCTCATATAGGAGAAAAGATGTGTGCAGTTTCAGCTGTGTTTTTCTGTATTAGTTCATTATGGTTCGGGGTTTTCTCTCAGTGGGTTTAGCAGTGTGAAAATGAGGATGTGTGTACTTGCAACTGCGGCTGTTATTGTGATGACAGAAGTTGAAAATCCATGAAAGAAAAACGCATTTCGGTGTAAATCTCGATTTAAGTTGACTTTTTAGGGACAGCTACAGTTTCACTTTGACACACTGAAACTATGTTTTCTGCCCACCTCCTAGATATTTCGTGTGAATTTGTTGAATCGACAGTAGGTGTAGCCTATAATAGTTTTTCATATAGCTCTAGGAAATATTTGGTTTAAAACATCTTAAGAACTAAAGTCTCTGCATTGCCACAGACTTTCATGTGCCGACTGTACAGATCAATTGACCAGCCACAATGTTTTGCATGTTGTGTCCAGTGACCTTTTCAATAAAATTTATTTTATTTTATTTATTATTATTTATTTAAACAATACAACTGTGTTTACAAAGAGAGAGAAAGGCAGCTTTACCTTGTGCAATTCTACTTTGTACAGAAAGCAAGAAGGAAAAAACATAACTATGTAGCTGGAAGATGCAGAAAATATGTCTGTTATGCAGCAAAGTTCAGTTTTGTATGACAGCAGTCTCAGTCAAGACTATGGTTTTAGCCACAGCGTGTAAAATAGTACAGATTGTGGGTAAGTTTTGCTTGTAGGAAAATGTAACAATCACAGTAAAACTTGGGTTTAGTCATTGTGTAACTTTCAACCCATCTTTCAACCTCTTGGTTCGACCCTAAATAACATGCATTGTCGCCTGCAAGTGTCTTCTTTGTCGCTGACAAAATGTTCTGACTGTGAATGGTGGCTTTAAGTAAAAATGACACAATAATATTCCCAAAGAACTCCCAGTTTCATCAAGCACAGCCTCCCAGTGTTTACAGTGTGTGTATGCTGTTTCTCATTCAGGCATCACGGAGGTGAGGGTTTCTGTGGAAAAGGGTTTTCTTTCTTGTCCCGCTCCTATCAAACATCTCTTGCTGATCGTGTTGATTTCCGCAGACCCCAGATTTTTGTGGCATCACCATGCAAATCTGGAATGCCTCCTCTCCTCTCAAGATGCTCATACGCAAGTTCCAACACGTGGCCCTCCCAGACTTGTGTCCCAAGTGGCTTGTTTAGTCCTATTGTGACAGCACCCTAGGGCTCATATTTGCCAGGATGTACGAAAACGAAGAGGAAGCCAGTGTATCCATTTCATCCCTCTGACACAGGCTGTCTGGGATTATTATCTTGTGGTTTACAAATGATCTGCTATTTTGACTGCAACAATAGCTTTTTCCAGAAGGCTGCAGTTGCAATGAGGTATACAGCTACAGAACACGGCCTGGCCCAATTTAGATTTTATGTGGATCATCTCTTTTACTGACTCCTTAATGGTACTACTAGTCTTAAGTAGCCTGACAACACACAAAACCAAACCACAAACAGCTTTATTGTACTGTAGTACTTGATGATAGGAATCCTTTTGCTTTGTAAACTTGGATTAGTCATTGGGAAATCCCCCGGAGCTCTCAGGGTTGGTGAGGTAACCTGGAGGTTTATTCTGCTGTCGCCTTGATCCCAGATTGCTTGGATGTGGCCATCATTGGACCTGGTAGCCGTAAGCAAATAGGCCACCCAGAACAACAACTGGCAACTAGAGCCAACCAGCAGGGTGTGGATGCGGATGTGTAGGCTCTGCTGATGTAGGTGGGGTCTGAGGAAATAGATCCTTTCTTACAGAGAAGTATTATGTTCTGGTAGGTATTTGCTAACAGAGAGGATGTAAACGTCCATTCATCCTGGTAGGTTGCTGCCGAGGCCAGTTGTTAAATACGTTACATTCAGTTAGTGTAAATACTGGAAGGGAATAATTAGATAACGTGTCAGTCAGTGTGTTTCTTCGAATACCAAAGCGGTGGTCTTTCTAAATTTAGCCTGTACGTTTTCTTACAAGCACTTTGGTTATCTGTTTGTTGTGGTGTGTGATAGGGATGCTTTGATCAGGCTTTTCTACGCTGATACAGATCAGTGATTTACTTTATTCTGACAGTATTGTTTTTTTTTTTTTCCCCTATGTAAGAGACTCTATAAAGCCACCACTTTTGTCTCATGTCTGCGTCATCCCTTTTTATATCTTGAGCTGGTCTCACCATTCCAAAATAAAGGAACGTAAAAGGACTTCTGGATGACTGCATTAGTCATCGTAGACAAAGGCATTTAGCTGAAACTGGATTTTTATCAGTTGCTTCACACTGTGTGGCATCTCATCCTGTTTTCCAGCCAGAAAAACAGACAACCAAGCTCACCAATGCCATCCCCTGCCATGCCTTTTAGACAGTAACATTCAGCCTCACATTTGTGAAATGGAGA